AGCTTTCTAGCATAGGGCAATGAAAAAACTTGTACCACACACAGTACTTAAAATAAACTATTCCACTATAAACAGCTTGTGCAATTAAAGTTCTCTCTTTTATTAATTCATCAGGTTTTAAAATTTGAGATCAGCTGTTTGTGTGGTAGCAATACAAATTAACATACACCCCGTGAAGAAACTTGCAATCCATGCTATATTGTATGATGGCTATCAAATTAAAAATGGTGCTGCCCAGATTTAAGGTTAAGAAAGTTATTTTTTCTAACATTACTTTTTCAATTAAAGGGAGAAAGGTCAGGCTAATACAACACCATTTGTAACACTGCTATGCATTTTAAGGTGTCACGCTGCAGACATAGCAAGTCTCTGAATTAATCTGCAGTATGCTCAAAATTAAGTTAATGAAATTAATCTCTCTCTAGTAACAGCATTGGTTTAGCTCAACCTCATCAGAAGGCACCATGTGAATGAGCGCAAAGGTTGTGAATGAAAGCCAAATCCCTCATGATGGGAGCAGGCATAGGAACAGGCCAGGAGAAAAACTATGTCCGTTCATAAAGAGGACTTTCAGCTTGGCCACTTCAGTAAAGCAGTAGAAGGCAAAGACTTTTAAAGCAAGAGAAAACAAAACCCAAGCTCTTCTTTTGCTTTTACGCAGGAGCAAGTCCTTTAATCTTGAGTCTAGGGAAGAAAGAGCAACCTTCAGAAGGCAGCAAACTGCAAAACAATTCTACACCACTATCTTTGAACTGGAAGTCTTAATTGTAAAAAGCATCAAATATATAGAATACTTCTAAACATCCCCAAGACTTAACTCTGTTATGAAAAGTACCTTGTGACTGATTTACAAGTTTTACTACTTGATGTTGTGCATCCCTGACTGATGCAGGGAGGTAGACTGCAACTGAATTTCCTTTCCTCACACAGGAGATACACTGCCACAGAGCACCATTCAAAGGAGAAGCAGGATCCTGTCCTGGCACTTTCCAAACCACTGTAGATGGGCAATTAAAACCATCTACAATCCCACTGGATGCTGAAGGATGTGGACAATGAACACAAACCTTTTAGAATATTTCTTTTCTCTTGTTTTCCTCAAAACTCAACTTGACTCTGAAAAATTACAACATTAGAAACAACTGTAGCAATTGTCAGCATAATCCTCACTAAACTAGTGACAAGGTTTTTGCAGGTATCAACGGTTCATGTCTTACATCAAGCCTAAAGCTGAAAGGTTAATTGTTTTTTACTTCAAAAGAGAGTCCTTTCATATTTGGAAACATAGTTTGGCAAACTAACATTAAAATGTTTGCACAAAGTTAATCAGAAATGATCTTATAATTTCAATTCAGATATAAACAATATTACATTAATTATTTAAACACTTAATTGAGAATGTGCACTTTCAAAGCTCTTGTCCCACAAATCATTTTGACATGTTTCTGCTCCCTTCCACAGCAAAAATGAAATGTCATTGGCAAGGTAATGATTCAAAGTGATTCCAGGGCAAACTGCAAATTCTTGCCAAATCAGAAACTGTCTCATAAGAAAAAAAGAAATCTTAAGAAAAGGTTTGATCATGGGGTACTTGTACTGTGTCATGGATGATAGTGTTTAAACAATTCCCTTAAAGATTCTCACAGTCATAACCAAAACAAACAACTGCCTAAGGCATTCGGGAAAAACAGGAAAACTAATGGAATATTATTTCTAGTGTGAAATGCTGACAGCCCAAATACTGGGAGAATGCACAGTTACATTCACTTAATTGGTCCCATTCCAGTTTTGCACTTAGAAAAGCCTAAGCCAGACGAACATATACTCATAAAAGCATGGGGTTTACAAATATACCAGTAGCACCATGGCATGCAGAATTCCTCACACCCTAGTTTTTCAGGACACTCCTTACTCACCCCAGCACCAGCCAGATGACACTTGTGTTTGCACAGGTTACTCATACTTCTCCACCTTTCTTTGCTGCCATAAGCATTTCACAGCAGAAGCAGAATATACCAAGAAGGTATAGCCTTCTCTCTTATTAGTTTTCTGTCTTACCTAATAAATCATTATTCTCCAGTGCATTAAAGATTTTTCTTCTCCTAACGGCATCCTACTTGCCCGTATCGTTCTGACAGCAAGGGTTTCAAAACTAAACAGGCTTAAAACAACAGTCCCATAAAAAACTTAATTACGGCTTCATTATTTCTCCCCCCTCTAAAACTTAACACTGGTAGTAACAATGGAGAGGTCTCTAATCTAGACACGGATGCCAACAGTTATAGGCATTTTTAGTAATATATCATCTTAGTCTAGTTAAAATATATCTATAGACCAAGGGGATAGAAATACTCCTGGAGAGAATATATACTTGTACTTTAACTCCAGAACACAACAAAAGTCAAAGAAGCTGTCTGTGTGTCATGGTTTGGGCCAGGTTGGCCAATGACAAGATGACAGATGCTCTTCCCCACATCTCACTCCAAGGAGAGGACAAAGAGAGATAAAGAGATTTATGAGCTCAGAAAAAAAACCTAAACTACTTTAATGAAAAATTAACAATAAAATAAAAAGGAAATAATGAAATAGATACAATACATACAAATATATACAAAACCGTATCAAGCTCTCAGGGGGACGTCACCCACAGGCACTGGGAAGGTTCCAGACTGGACTCAGTGACGGATGGGAATTGGATTGAGCACCTCGATTCAGGAACCCACAGAGCAGGATCAAAGGCTGACAGGGTCTTCCTCAGACATCAGTCATTGAAGAAAGGGAGCCGCTGAAGAAGAGCTAACCTGACCTCTTTGATCCCTCAGCTTTTATACTGAGCAGGCAGGTGGGGTGGGATGGAACACCCTACTGGTCAGTTTGGGTCTGCCCACTCCTCCCCACAGATACAACACCTCCACAGGGCAAACAACCTGTTAGTTGCCCCTGGCTGCCACAGCAACAAGCATAAGCAAGAGCCCCTCTGCCTGAGCAGGAAGCTGGCTCTGCTTCACCCCAGACCAGGGCATTGGGGGGAAAAAAATGTTACTGAAACAACAGCTAGCGGAGAAAAAGCTGTAAGAAAAGGTGCCTTCTGCAATGCAACATATCACTGCAGGCAGCCGTATTGCAATTTTTTACTATTAATCTCCAATGTAAAACCCAAATGTGTTTTGAACATATGGGTTTCAAGAATACCCACTTTCATCATATTCCAGTCTTCTGGATTACTTTACACAAGATCTCATGTTCTTGCCTGTCCATGTTAACTCACTCCATAATGCAGTCAGTACTATTGCTGCACTGATGCCTACAGTCAACGGATGGTGATTCCTACACCAGATCTTTATTTAATTGAATATATGACTTATATTCTCTTAGCCTTCTGAAGTCACACACGTGTATAAGCACCTGGCACCCTTAGCATGATTAACCTATGTATTATCTTAAGCAGGTTTAATAATATTGTGAGATTGGAAATTCAGTTCCTTATTTCCTCCATTTTTCTCTTCCCCAGCCCCTCAGGCACTAGGGCTTTTGTACAAAGATTCAGGAAAAGGAAAGAGGTTTTAGAAGCGATATTAAGTACATCTCTTCCTACGTCTGACCTTTTCTACAGTTCTGCAATGCCCCCGTAAGTAAGGGGATAAGCTCAGAATCAGCTAATACACAATTGCTCAAAAAGCCATCAACTATGCCATGTAGCGACTGCAAATGAAAAATATCATCTCCAAATGACAAATGGCTTGCTTTCAACAGTTCTTTCTCTCAGAAATCTGTCTAATAGCAGAATCCTTGGAAACAATGTTCCCATGGTCATGGACATTTGCTCCCACGGTATTCAGATAATACCCTGCAAGTTCCATACCAAACATGTAAAAAACTATTTCCTTCAATCTCTGCACTCCTGCTTAACCCCCTGGAAACATGTCAGTGCTGTCCACAATTCCTTCATTTTCCCCATCCCTGTAATACATTTTATATAAAGTTGGAGATGCTCATGCTGCAAACAAGTTTTCCTCCACTCTGCTGATACAATGCTACTTCCACAGTTTGTCAGGCTGCACAGGTCAAAGGTATTAGCCTAATCCAAAGTTACCAGGGTCCCAACAGAGAGACACTGCATTCAGCTGCATTCAGATCACAGGTTATCCCAACACATAATGCAATCAATCCTAAAAACAGTCTTCCCCACATGAAATGGCTGTGGTGAAAGGTAATTTCTCACAAAAAATAAAAAGAAGCTATGACAAATTAATCTGGAACCAAGACACAGCAATTGAAAAGAGAACTTATATGTCAACAATGAGGGATGTTCCAGATAATTTAAATATTCCAGAGATGCATTGAAGTGAAGCAGCAGAGCAACTCTCTTAAAAATAAACAAACAAATAGAAAAAAAGCTCATTAAAGGAGATTCCTGTTAATACTCATTTGTGGAATCTAGTACAAACCACGGCGGAATTTTGTTTCATTTCTGATATCCATTTATGTTTCTAAGCAATACAAAAAGCATACCCAGGGAAAAGTTACAGTGAAAATAAAAAGGTACAGATTAGAGTAATTGAATTATGAAGAAATTTCAGTGCAGGCTGAGGCCAAGATAAAAACAACAGACAAATTCATTTCCTGAGCAATTGGTTCTGCTCTGAGGCTGTGTCTCAGCCTATGGAAAGCCACACAGAATGGGGTCACCCAATCACACCTGGGACAGACTAAGATATAAGCTTAAAAAGGCTTTTTTTTTTTTTTTTCCTAAAGCAGAGCCAGGCTATTTGAAACAGGAAGAAGGCAGAAGGCTTCATGTTATGTTCATTGGTATACATTGTATGTATACGTTTATGTGGTCCTTCTATATAAATAGATGAGAAAAAATACTTTAAAGATCCAAAAAGAAATATGCACATATCAGCTTCCTGTGCCTACCACAAATAGACCTCCTGCCTACCACCCCTGGACTCAAATCCACGCTGTTCTTCAAGGTCTACCCTTCCAGCCATTCTTACCTATTTTGCTTTTCTAGGTCTCCAGGCTCTGGGACAACACATCAACCCGCTCATTCCTGGTATGAAGGAAGTTTGATTAGAAGGCAGAGTAAATGTAGGCAAGGCAATAGCAATAAAGAACTGGGAAACAAAGTGCTCGGTCAGAGAGCAATCCTGCACTGCAGCTGTCCTCAGCCACAGCTCTATCAAATGGATTCCCTCCCTCCCCCCTCCACCCTGCAAGATCAAATGTCTTACTAATAAACGGCAGTTAATCATCAGATATGAAATTTGCCTCTCTTGATAAGGAGATTTAGAGGAGAGAACATTATGTAATAAGAACATGTTTTGTAGACAGGCAAACAATTAGATGACTGCAACATCACACTGAGAGTTGTTTCAGAAGACCCTTCATACCTACTGTTTTTCCACTTTAAAAAACACAGCTACAACCCAAAATTCACAGGGAATTTTGGTTAAATAAGCATTTCTCCCTTCCAAAAAGAACTTAAGATTTCAACTACCATGAAATCTGTGAAAGTCAAAACATGCTGATAAATATTTCCTAAGGTTAAACATAGTGCTGAAATCAACTGAGTAATGTTAACATGTTAAACTATTTCAAATGTTTAAACACACGAATATTGTCTGGGAATCACACCCATACCTCCAGCCTTACAAACCACATTCCTCAAACCTTACTCAGATCTACGAACAGCAACTCTCATTGCAATTCTCAACTTCCAGAGCTTCACTCGAATCGCTTAGATGCAAAACAGAAGCACAGAGTCTGCAAATCACACCCATACCTCCAGCCTTACAAACCACATTCCTCAAACCTTACTCAGATCTACGAACAGCAACTCTCATTGCAATTCTCAACTTCCAGAGCTTCACTCTAATCACTTAGATGTAAAACAGAAGCACAGGGATCCCTGGATCTAATTGCATTTGGGGAATAATTTATATTAGAGATACACAGAAAAACACATAGCCAAAGGCTAAGCATCAACATTATCAAGTGCTTTTACATCAAGAAACTTGAGGGAAGCAAATGGAAGGAAGGAAAGAGCATATGGAGAGTGTGCTCTTGAGAGATGACACAGCTCTCCTTTTACATGCCTAATAGAAGCAATCAGGGTTCATTATGATCACCTGTTCCAGCCTCCCCTATGTGTAGCCCATAAGATTTTCCCCTATTAAGCCCTGTTAAAAATAGATCTGTCTTTAGAAAAAAAAATTCCTTGATTTAAAGTTTTTTAATGATGAAAAACTTCTAAGTATTTATTTATTTTCTAATGAGTGCTGTTACTTTAAAAAACTGCACCTCTTGTCCAACTTCAAATTTCCAATGCTGGATGTTGTTAAACCTTTTCTGGCATGAGTTAAGAGCCCGTTTTGCCTCACCTTGGCATTTCTGGGCAATGATCCAATCATTTCTTTCATTCTTTTGGATCCACTCACGATAACATATGCTCCGAGAGGCTGCACAGCCAGGGACTTTTAAATGTTTTATACACTGCGGTAGGCTGCACCTTGCACACTTTTTACATCAAGAAACTTGGGGGAAGCAAATGGAAGGAAGGAAAGAGTGTATGGAGAGTGTGCTCTTGAGAGATGACACAGCTCTCCTTTTACATGCCTAATAGAAGCAATCAGGGTTCATTATGATCACCTGTTCCAGCCTCCCCTATGTGTAGCCCATAAGATTTTCCCCTATTAAGCCCTGTTAAAAATAGATCTGTCTTTAGAAAAAAAAATTCCTTGATTTAAAGTTTTTTAATGATGAAAAACTTCTAAGTATTTATTTATTTTCTAATGAGTGCTGTTACTTTAAAAAACTGCACCTCTTGTCCAACTTCAAATTTCCAATGCTGGATGTTGTTAAACCTTTTCTGGCATGAGTTAAGAGCCCGTTTTGCCTCACCTTGGCATTTCTGGGCAATGATCCAATCATTTCTTTCATTCTTTTGGATCCACTCACGATAACATATGCTCCGAGAGGCTGCACAGCCAGGGACTTTTAAATGTTTTATATACTGCAGTAGGCTGCACCTTGCACACAAAGCATAGAATCATAGAATGGTTTGGGTTGGAAGGGACCTCAAAGATCATGGAGTTCCAACCCCCCTGCCATGGGCAGGGACACCTCCCACTAGAGCAGGTTGCTCAAAGCCCCATCCAGCCTGGCCTTGAGCACCTCCAGGGATGGGGCAGCCACAGCTTCTCTGGGCAACCTGTTCCAGTGTCTCACCATAGTAAAAAATTTCTTCCTGAGATCTAATCTGAATCTTTTTTCTTCCAATTTAAAACCATCTCCCCTTGTCCTATCATTACCCTTCCTGGCAAAGAGTCCCTCCCCAGCTCTTCTATAGGCACCTATATCTCTCACCTGAAGTGCATACAGCTAAACAACACCACTTGGGCACATCACAGGTCATTTTCCCACCTGCTCCTCTATCTTCCCACATTCAAGCAAAGGGCTACTCCCTGGCTGGCTGCCTGTCAACTTCCCCCAGGCTTTCCAAAATTCATTAACTCTGGAGTGCAGAAGCCCTTAACTTAATATTCCTTGTGCTACAACTCCACGCTGACCACCAACTAACCCAAACTACTTTATATAAGTGGTTCTCAGTCTCCATCATTTACTCCTTCCTTTGTAGCCGTATAATAAAATTCAAGTACACTAAGTAGACTGTATTTTTCAAAGCAAAAAAACCTGGAAGAAAACTTCAGGCAGCACACAAGCGAGAGCTGATCTTCACCCGAGCGCCACTGAGCCACTCACCTGCTCGGGGATGGAGAGGACAATTAAGCGTCCGTTCCTTATCCCCCCTTCCCACTGCACGATAAATAACCGCAACCGGCAGCGCTGACGGGCAAGATGCACCGCCACCTTCAGTTTTCACAGTAACGGACGGTAAAAGGCATTAAAAAATAAAAATTAAGAATCTCCCGCCAGGTTATTAACCCCCCCCGCTCTCAGCGGGACCAGCCCAGCGCGGCCACCCGGGCACGGCACTCGCTCGCCACCGGGAGGGACGGCGCTGCGGGCTCCCTCCTCCTCCTCCTCCTCCTCTAGTCCTTCTCTCAGGAGGAAAGAAAAACAAACAAAGAAAAAAAAACAAAACAAAAGCCTAGAAGAGTTGCTATTAAGAAAGAGAGACTTACCAGGAACCTCTGCAGGGGGAAGAGAAATACACGCGAGCAGCAGCATCCCCGCCGCGCCAGCCGGGGGATGCTGATCGCAACTCGGCAGCGCTGTGGAGCTGGGGGGTGAAGTCCGACACACACACACACTCACACACACGCACGGGGGAGGGGGGGTTACCGGGAGAACTCCCACCGGCGCCCGCAGGTGCAGCCTTGCGGTAGCCCCGTCCCCCGCCCGCAGCCCCGCACTCCCCCCGCAGCCCGGGGGAGGGCTGGGGTCGCCTCACCGCCTCCTCCCCGTACCTCTCCGGCTGCTGCTGGGCCGGCCCCGCCGTCGCTCCACGGTGGCCGCCCTCCCCTCTCTCCCTCCCTCCGGTAGCGCCGTGCCGTGCCGTGCCGTGCCGCCGCCCCGCAGCGCCCCACGCCGGCGGGAAGCGGCCCGGCCGGGATACCGGGTCTGTCGCCGTCCCGAGCTGCGGGGAGCGGGTGCGGGGGCGCCCCCGCGGCGGTCACTGTCCCCTCTACCTCCCGCTCCCCCCCCGCGGGTCCCCGACCTGGGGTCCTCCGCTACCCCCGGTCTCCCTCCCCTTCCGACGGGGCCGGGGAAGGGCGCGCATCCAGCGCTCCTGGCTGCGGTGGTTGCGCTTCCCCTTAACATCGTCTCCTCCTTTTCGGCGGTGTTTGACTTCTGCGGAGCCGGCGGCTCAGCGGGGGAACCAGTGATTGCTGAGAAGAGGCTTAAAAAGCCGGGGAGCGGGGGGAAAGGGTATTTACTTGACAATTTTACGATTTTTCAACTCCGGTAGCTGGATCCGTGCCGTGCCCTGGGTGAGGGACCCATCCAAAGGGTAAAACAGTATGTCAGCGCATAATAAAAGACACTTGTCCCAGCTGTCCTCCCCACAGCTATGTACAATAGCTCTTAAATTTTATGGCCGCCCCTTTTAATGGTTCGAGTGAGGCAGGGTTATCAAACAGCTACAAGTATTCCAAAATAGTCCAAATTTCAAAAGTCACCAAGCAAAACAGCATCTTGATTCACCCAGATGAATTGAATGATTCATTCACCCTCACAGGCGTCCTCAGGCACCTGAGGAGCTCACGTAGCAGCATCCAAGAAAGATAAGGAAACTAATTTAGCGCTTCTGTGTATTTCCTAACATGTTAAAATACGGGTTTGAAACTGCTGCAGTAAACAAAGCTTGGCCATACGAAAATACTTAAAAGCTTTTCTTTTTCACAGCTGTAACTGACTTTAAAACTGATCTAATTATATCACTTTCAAAAAAATGCCAATGCATGCAACCAAAATCTCCTGCTTGGCTTCCACGCATAAAATTTTAGCATAAAAATTGCAGTTTGTGCAGAATAGTAATGTAATGTTACTTGTTATCTGCAAATTCCTGGTGCTGCATTTTGAAAAAAAAACCCTACAGTGTTTGTATTATTCCAAATGATGCGTATGTAGGGAAGTTTATACTTAGGAGGTGCAATGTTTACTTGGTTAGTGCCTAAATACAACCCCTTGAAGGCTAATTTGAGTTTGCTACATGCTATCCTCACAACATCATTCTTTGACTTGTTCAGCAAAAGCTAATGAAGGGACCTGATTCAATGCTCCAGTACATCGTTTGTCTGTAATTACTAGACTAACACATGGGTCTCTAGAACAGCGTGAATCATTATCAAAAAAAGATACACAGGTTAATATATTCTATAAGGCATGATTTAATTTTAAGTATTAAAGCAACAGCTCCAGATATATGCGGTTTTTTCCAGTTTCATCTTATACATGTTGTTGGAGGGGGGCTGGTGAAAGGAAGGGCTAACATCCCCTTTGCACAGCAGCCTGAGAGCTCAGATACAGCATTACCACCCAGTGCACCTAACTTCAAGGAGAATTTATGAGAAACATCGCAGGCTTTCTGTGTTTCTGTTGTGATACAAAGCAGCTGTTCTTAGGGACTGGAGAACCATATTGTTTTGGTAGCAGAACC